TTTGCCTCTTGGTTCTCTTAATTGAATCTTCTTTGTCTTCTTTTTCATCTGCTCCTTTAAACCTCAGGAACTTAACTCACCACAGTCCCTCCATTCTGAAGGCTCTTAGTTCCCACTTCTCTTTGCCTCGACCCTTCTTTGCCTTACAGCAGTTCATTCTTCTCATCTCCCCTTGAAAGCCACCACTTTAAAGAAACCTCCCAGACCAGCACACATCCCCGTGTTGTACATTCTCAGTTATCTGATCCTGCAATTTGACTTTATAGCACTTCTCGGAGCTGCAGTGAAATAGCTGTGTCATTTGTCTTCCCTTCATAGCGTGGGACTCATCATTAAAGTGACAGCACCAGGGTCTAGCAGAGGGCCTGGCCTGTAGTAATGACTCAGTAAATATTCCTTTAATGAATTTTGAATAAATGGTTTTCTCTTGCTCTCCACACCTTTCAAATGTTATTTCTCATGGTCCTTTTTCACCCACTGCACTTCTTGTATTGCATGCTGAGTGGGCCCATCTACTCTCTGTTTTCACTACAAGTTGTATATTGATGGTGGCAAGATTAAGATCGCTAGTCCAGAAAACCAAATGGGGAAGACCACCAGGCAATGCATCAGCTAAAAAACCCAAATAACGTCCACATTTCCCCACAAAAAGTCCCTTCGTCTGTGAGCAACTTGGAACTCGTTGCTCCTGTAGCCTTGTTTCCCGGCTTGCAGGTTGAAAGCCTTGTGATCGACTCATCTAACTCGTTTGTTTTATTCACAGTGCACAGCTGGTTTTTGACAATATTCCAACTCCATACTTCTAAAACGTAGTGCACATGTAACCTTCCTCCCTGAGACCTCGCCCAGAACACCATCTTCTACCTCAGCTGCCAACTGTAATCATTATCTTCTAACCCTTACTCACCTCCATGTTTCCACTAGTTAACAAATAAAAGACACCGCGACTCCGTCTTCCCTCCCCAACATCCAATGAGACACCACGTCCAGCTAACTCAGCTCGACTTTTGTATTCAGTTGGACCATGTAACACACCCTGGCTTTAATTGCCCTTAATCATCTCTACACTGTAGCAGTGGAACACCCCCAAAAGGGGTTTCTCTGTGCCGCAGACTTGTTAACTTTATTTTGTTTATCTTCTGCCATGCCAGTGACCAAATCTGAGGCTGCCACTCAATGATATAGAAGATGTTAATACTTCATTACCATCTATAAACTAGAGTCAACACGCTCTATAAGGTCTTTAGTTATTGTCTTAGTTTTGTCTTCAGCAATCTCCAAATTCACCTCAGCAAACCGAGGTGAATGGATCACCCTATCATGTGGGGTATGGTTTTGTTTAGTTCACTGTTGTATGTCCAGAGCCTTAGAATCAAGTAGGTTGCTTAATTCATAATCACTGTATGAATGAGTCCATTGTGATATAAAAATAATCTAACCATATTTTGTAATTTTACCACTTACTTTTTTATCTTTTCCCCTTTATATTCTATTTATGGCTTCAAAATATTAATAGCTCTACATACAGACAAATGTACATTCCAAAGAAAATTTGATACGTTAATTAAAATATATTATTCTTTCAAGGCTCAACAAATGAGAGAACAGCTGAATGCTCTTTGTAAGCTATAAGATACACAGTTCTTTTTTATTTTTTAAATTATCTTATGAACACCTAATGGCATCCCACTAATTTCCATGTGCTCATTTTATTTCTGACATTAATCTGTGGATTTTTACTCCATAACATCAGTGCTTGCTCTGATCACTAAAATAGCTCTCAAGTGACTATTACGAATCACTCTCAGGATTTATTATAAATTGGGTTTTACATGCATTTAATGGTAAGGTAGCTACCAAGGAAAAGTATGTACCATAAAATATATCACAACTGCTCCTGTGTATGTTTCAACATATTTAGCTGGATTGAAGCTTCTTTTATTTCTCTAAAAGAACTATTCATTTTACAAAACTAACAACTATGCTTAAATAGCAATTTCTGAGTTCCACTTTATTTTTAACACTCTTAATGTGGAACTGAGGGATGAAAAGTAAGATGTACTAATTGCCATTCAGGAGCCTTACTGATATTCACGCATACAAAATTCTGGGAATTCCCATAATGCTTTCCATCCTGAAATCCTGGGGCTGAGCAAGGTGATATTCTGCCAAGTCATCAGGGTCAAAGAACGTAAATCAGAAAGGGTTCTACCATGGAGACCAGCCCTTCTCCTTCAAACAACACTGAATCTTTCATCCAGGTAAAAAAAAACCCATATGCTCACTACTTCTGCCAAGCAGATACAGACAGGATTGATGCCATTTGGACAAGTTCAAGTTCAGCAATTCAGCATCAAATCTATAATAAAGTGCATCATTAATAACCTCAAAAATAAAATTAAATTACTGGCTCAACTCTTAAAAAATAATGCTTCAAGGTCTGGCATTTCGTAGGTTCTTGCTTTCGATATTTTGCACAGGATATATATGAGTATCTCTGTATACTGTGCATAACTAAAATTTACAAAACAGGGGTTTTTTTTCCATATCATGTGCTCTCATTAAAATATTTGCTTTATTTATTGCCTGTCTCGCAGCAACCCCCTCCCTCTTTCTTCTTTTTATTTACCTGGGCAGAAGCAAAATGAACCATAGTTTCAGGTACTGCTGCTAAACAGTTATAAAATTTAATTGTATAATTTAATATATAACCTAGGTACAGTTCTCAAAAAATGCTTAAAAGGTTGAAATCTCAGAAGTTTTGTTGGCAGCACGTGAAGAAACAAAATGACATGAACTGGTGTGTGTAGTAAATTGCTTCATTTATCGTCTAAATTTGGATATGAATTGACAGCACTCTCAGTAATTTCAGATTAATTTTTTCTCCCATAGAGCCAGATATATCTTCTTTTGTATCCTGATAGAGCATGGAAAGACAAACATGTTACAGCTGGTTTTTATCTACTACAGAATTTCTAGAAATTCGTATTTCTCCTAATGGAAGAAGAGAAAAAAAAAAAAAGGACCTTGTTTTTTTAAGGGAACTGTTTGGCTTATTTTTATCTGAAGTGGCTTTTGTATAGGAAACATATTGTAATAAAATATAATGATGTGTATAGAGTTGGGGGGAGATGTTTTTTATAAGAGCTTTGACTCTGTGTTAGCATATTTTATGAGAAACAGCAAGTGGCTTCCTAGAAGGTTATGATGCCTCACTCAGGCATTCATGTTAGGTCTGTGATATTTAACGTTATCATTGTTTTCAATATCCTTGTGAAAACTAGTAAGCTGAAGCACCAACCAAATAACTAAACATATCATTTAAAAATTGCATTACTTCAGAGCACCACCCTGTATTCATAAGTCCTCGGCTGACTCTTCTACTTACCTATCTTGAAGATTATTCCAAAAATATAAAAGATTTACTTTTGGGGTTTCCCCCACCACCACCATGATCAACATTTACCTTGGAAATATTGTATACACTGGGCATTCCACTTAATACTTTTTCACATTACAGTAACTTGTGTTCCAAAAATGCCTTCTTCCTTTTCTTTCTTCCATGGAAATATGCATTCTATTGTCAAGTTATTTGCTATCAGATCGATATCCAGAATTTCATAGTATACAGGTTTTGAATAGTATCCTGAATTTTAACTCTGATTATAAGGCCTAAGAGCAATCACAGCAACCTTTTCTTCCTCAAGAAAAAAAAAAAGATCAATGTTTCATGGTCAAATGATCTATTTCAACCTTCGAATTAACATGATATTTGATTCCCAAATATTCAGAATATGAGGGGAAATGATTAAGCAATATGAGGGTGTATGTGTGTGAGCTGTACCAATTCCTTCTAATACTTTGCCAGTGCAAACATTTGGACATGTTGAAAGAATTTATAAGATCGTGGCCTCAGCCAAGTAAGTATAAGAGGTATAAGAATATGACTCCTAAATAAAAAAATCAGGTTGGGAAATCTTTCTAAAACACCCTCGATGTATTCCCAAAGCAAACTGCATATCTTTAGTAGGAAAAATATATATACTAAAATTAACATGAGGTTACTTTAATGTGTTTAATTATAAATAACATCGTTTGGGTGCATAAGTATTTAAGAACCCTGCCACTTAGCTGCCTTTGGATAGAATAAAAAAAGTGATCAATATTGAATTGTGTTTTGCTACAAAGATATACCAGATGTTTAACCAGTCCCATCACAGTGTGTGATGTCTCTATACACAAGTGCACCTACTGTGCTGAGGGGTCAAAAGCCAAGTACATTGAAGTAAATGCAGATATTGCTAATCATAAACATCTAGAACTTGTTTTAGTGTCTTTTAAATAATACAATCCTTCCACCCTTCAACTCCAATACCTGCAATGAGGATGGACCTTTTGTCAAAAGTGTTTCTAAACTTACTGTGAAAATCAAGTTTGGCTCCACTGATCTTTTATCAATATATATTTTTTTCTGAAATGGATTCATTAGGGCAACTATAATCTCCTACGGGACTGAACTGTGTGCTCTAGTTTCTTATCTAACTTTTTTACTTCGAGTTCACCTTTTATTTCATTTAGTAGAATTTATCTAACTGTTCAGCCAGCCCTCACAGTCAAGGGAAATTGTGCACAGGGTCTAACTCCCTAAGAATTTTAAACTCAAGATGAAAGAAGGTTTACAGTGAGCAGAGACACAGCTCGGTAAGCATAAGCCATGGAGAAAAGGCAGGATTTTTTTTCCCCTCAATGTATACCAGTCTTCTTGGTACTAGCAAATTCTTGATCTTCCTTGTTGTGTTTGTTTGTTTTGTGGTTTGCAGCTTGGGAATACATTAAACACATGCAAAACTGAATCGCTTGACAAATGACAGTCAATATGCATTTTGCCTTATTTCCAGTCTTCACAGTGTAAGCAAATGTGAATCATGTTCCTCACAAGGAAGGTAGGAAATGAGAGAGGGAAGAGCCGCTGGAGAATTGGTGATAGAAAAATAGAGGCAGCACCCTTGTGTGATCTCCTTTATTTGCTATCCCTTCCTTTCCATCCTCTACTACTTTGTTGGTAATGATTGTTTTTTCACACCTGGAGATCACACAACCTGGCATGCGGTCCAGCCTGCAGAGTTAAGTGTGAGTATCCAAGCAGGTCATCCACTGCTCCACCTTGGTCAACCCTTGTTTCACCGAGGTTGCAGGTGTCAAGGGTCAGTAATAAGAGGCGTGCTTTTTCAATTTGTTTCACAGAAAGACAAAAGTCATACGCGTACTATATTAAAATATCAGGGGAGTGCCAAGGTACCAATATCCAACAAGTTACATTTTTACTTGGAAGCCAGTGTATGTTCTCAGACTTACACTTTCTCCAGTTCCTTCAAGTACCTTTAGTGAAGAACCACTGTCTTAGCATTGCTACCTCTTGCATGCATCCGTCCGTTCACAGCAAATTCCTGACTCATACTTCTTTAAGCTCTGGCAATCTGCATTTGGAAGAAGGAAGACAGCTCTTCCAGAAGGATGGAAGAAACCATGACTCAGAAAGGTTTCTGTAATAACAGGAACCTGATGTTTTGAAACTCCAGGGTCACAATTTGCAGCTTTACACATATCAGTAAAATTAGAGCTGGTCCCCAATAATAAGCTGATGTTTGCTTAATCATATATTATGTAGATCATGAGTGATTGAAGGGCACGACCCAGGCCTTGTCAGTTGTGTACCCATACTAAAATCTGTGTTTAATACATAGTAGATCTTTAATACTTATTGTTGAATAGAACTGAATTTGCAGACACTCAGCACCAAAAATGATTTTGCAACTTAGATAATTTAAAACACCTTCCCATTCTGTGGCTGTGCTTTGCCTAGCCTGTAGAATTTTACAAGACAGTGAATAAATTATACCGAAACTTCCTTCCAAGTGGAATTGAGTTTACGTCACAAAATCATTATTATTATTTTTTTTAATTTCAACATTCTACAAAGGGTGACCCTAATGAGAGGGGAAAAAGTACCACAGCATCCTCGAATATATAGATTCAAAACTCAAGTCAACTCATGAAACAGGACCCCGTGAACACTGATGCTATGACTGAGGAAAACTGTAGCATTTGCTTTCTTAGAAAGTAGGAAATTGAATTACCTTCAAGTTTCTCACATTTGAACCATACTACAAATGAGTTGTGTCCAGGTACAGAAAAACCAACAATATTTTATTTATAATCTTATTTTTAGGTTTTGAACTACAAATTCTGGTACTAGAGTTGTTTAAAAGATCATGGGTTTTATAGATGCTCATATGTAAATTAATCTGTTGTTTGCTTACTTTTTTTTTTTTCCTTTTTCCATTTAATGGTCCTCCTCATAAATACAGAACAGGTCATTACATGAAAAATATAAGATCTTGCATTTTTTTCCTCATTCTCTCTTAAAAATCTATTTCTAATATTGCATTCCCCATTGGACTACTTATAAGGACATGAGGGGGAAAATAAAAGAGAAAAAAAGACAAAATAGACTGGATCTCACCACTAGAATTCACCATAAAAATCTCAAAGTGTAACAGAATTCTTACAAAATTTTCTAGACCAGCTCCTTAGGGAATTGAGATCTCCTATGAAAAATATGGCAATCGGGGAAGGCAGAGACGAGATGTGGGGAAATAGTAAGTAAGTGCAGCAAAAACAGGTTCTGAGGAATACACATAATTTTGTCTGCTTTAGATCACAATAGAATTTTTAATAAATAAATTTCTTTTCTTTTTTGTTTTTTTTTTTGTAAAGACACTTTTTTGAAACAGTAGATTTAGCCCAGTCATTTGTGTCATTTTTAATAAACTGTCTTTTGTTTGTTTTCTGTAACTCTGTAAATGTTTTAGATTTGAGTCTCTTGTACATTGTCTTTAGAGTTCATTCGGATCAATAACGGTTCATGCACTGAACTGTGTATTGAATTTATTGTGTTAACTGTTGTTGTGTGGTTGAAGGGAGATTTGTAAGAGTTATAGTGATTTAGGTGCTCATGCTCAATGGCAGGCATGGGCAGGTGGCTTTCCATGGGTGCGTCTCCTGTAATCTCATCATCCACATTAATGATTTCAACAGTCCTTGTTGGAGCATGATGGTTTTGCCTATGGTGCTGCTTCCTCATCTTGTAGAAAATTACCAGCATCACTGCAGCCATGAGCGTGATGGCCACGAAACAGCCAATGATGATTTTGGTCGTCTTCATGACCTCATCAATTCCTGGGATCCCACTGTTTATATCAGTTACTGGGATGGTGAATGTTTTTTCTGTTGACCTTGTGCTCTGTGGCGTGAGAGAGGTGGTCACATTGGTGGTTTCCCAGTCAATCACTGGAGTGGGACCCACGTTGTTATCTGTGGTCCGTGCCTCATCCTGAGAAGGTTCCATAGTCTCAACCGTAACAGTTGAAAAGTAAGTGAAAGGAGTCGTGGTTGCTGCAGTAACATTCAGAGTGGCTGAAGCAGTGGTATTTCCCACAGAATTACTCACCATACACGTGTACATGCCTGTATCTTGCACAGTTACATTTGTGAAATTTAACGTGCCATCACTGAGCACCGCTATCCTCACTTTGTATGCCCCATGGGTCATGACTGTTCCATTTGGAGTAATCCAAGATACGGAGGTCAGAGAGGTGGAGGCCCGACATTTCAGCTCAGCGGCCATGCCTTCCGTGACATTGAGGTCTGCTGGGGGCTCCACAATCACAGGAGCATAGCACGTGAAATAATTCTGGTCCAGCTCCCCGATGTACCTCCCTTTCAGATTGGGAGGCGTGTTGCACCGGGCACAACAAGCTGTGTTCGAGGGGGCCATGTCTTTTATCCACCAGCTGAGCCACAGGATGTCACAGTTACAGTTCCAAGGGTTGTGATGTAAGTGTATCCGCTCTAGGTGATGCAAGGGTGTGAAGAGGTCGTGAGGCAGTAACGTTAGATTGTTGTGTGCCAGGTTGATCTCTACAAGGGACTGAAGGTTATCAAAGGCATTCCGTTCAATCACTTGAATCTGGGACTGTATCATCCACAGTTTTTGAAGGTGCATCAACCCCTGGAAAGAGCCAGGCCTGATGGCAGACAAATGATTCCCAGAAAGATCCAGCTCATCTAGTTTTATGAGCGGCGTGAGGTTAGGGATTTCCCGGAGGTTGCACATGGCAAGGTTCAAATACCTCAAGTTGGACAGACCTTCAAAGGCACCTTCTGAGATGTATGAAAGCCTCTTCAATTCCCCTAAGTCCAGACGGCGCAAAGAAGGGATTCGGTTAAAAGCATAAGAAGGGATGCTTTCGATGGGGTTGTTCCGCAACCAGAGCTCCTTCAGTTTAGACAAATATACAAAAGCTCCATTCGGGATGGTCGTGAGACGATTGTCAAAGAGTTCCAGAGTGTTGAGGTTCGCCAGACCATTGAAGGCCCCGATCTCAATTGTTCTAATATGATTCCTACTCAGCTGTAGGATTTCCAGGTGCCTCAAGTGCTTGAAGCTGTTCACTTTGATGATCTGGATTTGGTTCTCATGGAGGTTCAGCAGCCGCGTGTTGGTGGAAATGCCATCTGGGACGTCCCGTAGGTTTTTCCGAACGCAGATCACCTTGCTGAACTGGTTGCTGCAGGAGCAGACGGAAGGGCAGGTTTGAGCCCGCACCAGACCAGCCACCACGAGAAGCTGAAGAGCCAGCAGCACCACAAGCAGGGGGTCAAATAGGGCCCTGTTAAACCTAGGACCTATCATTATCTGCTGTGGATGTAAGGTCATCTTGTTCAACATTCATAATTTATATGGTGTTGGTCCTTCTGGAGTTCAAATAATCTGTAATGCAATAAGAGCAAAAAATAAAAGAGTATTAGATCTCCTTCACAATGTTTTCTAGAACAATGTCAATGATACAGCGTGTCAGCTAAAGATATAATTTCTTAGCCTAGCTAAACAACAAATCTAATGTCCCTTATTGAGTGATATGTCTCATAGTTTTAGAAAAAAAAAGAGGCATGTGCACCTCGAGTCAGCAGCCTTCCACAACCCCCAATCCATCAGATGTGCAGTCATGGAGAAATGGAAGAACGGGGTGGAGGGCCTTAAAAGAGTGTTCACCAACCATGTGTGACCCAAATGCATGAGGACTCATGAGATGTGCCCCACCACTAGATTCAATGTACAGACCAGATTGGAAAAGGTCAGAAAATAGGATTTGGGGGCTATACCCAACAAACAAAAA